AACTTCCTACATAGGAGAATGGTTACTGTATGTGTAAATATGGTTTAACTATGATGATACGGAATTCTACTGCATTAATAGAGTGGAATAGATACAAATGGATTCATTTAGTCGTTTGAAATTTCGTTCTTGTTTCATTAATTTGGTTATCGTACTTTTCTCTATTCAATATTTTCATCATACTCTCTGTCTCAATTTATGTGTAGATATTTAATTTTGAGCCTGAATTCGGGCTAGGAATATTCAAATTTTTTGAAACAAAATTTATATATTTGGAAACTAGGTAGGAAGTACTATAAGTCACAACTCACAATGAATGACAATTCCAAATATTTTAAAGATAAATAAAAAAATTATGATCAAAGATAGAGTTGTTTGAATCTCAATATCCAAAAAGTCACACATAAATTGGGACGGAGGAAGTAGCGTTTTTTATTTGCATTTCTTTGGAACCTATTCTGAAAAACGATTTTCCTGAGTCGAGGGTCTCAGAAACAACCTCTCTACTCTAGAAAGATAGGGATAAGGTCATTGTAAAACCAATCCTCCTCAGACCCACTTGTGGGACTATACTTACTATGTTGTTGTTAGTTTGAATATTCTGGATGGAACCCTACCAATTTGGATTTGATGAACTGTTATTTGATTTTTTTTGTCATCACTCCAAAGGGAGGGAAGGTAAGGTAGGGTAGGTGGTTGCTTGGATGTCTCTAAAATTTCTATTTGTAATATGCGGTGCAGCATTTTTTTGTCATATAGGACATCACTAATTTCGTGGCATGGAACCAGCAACGACGACAACATACCCAGTGAAATCTCACAAGTGAGGTCACGCAGAACTTACCACTACCTCGAGGCTATGTAGAATGTCGGAATGTCACCCAAGTCTTTGTTCACCAACATAAAGATGTTGAAAACATCTATGGCTATGTAAATAAACATATGCTAAAGAGCAGTGGCAGATCTGATGAAAGAAGGTAGATCTGAACTACTTTTTTTAATAACCGAGAGATCCTCGAGGGGCACACGGTTTGAAATTCGTTGGATAACTAAAGAGTCCTCCCTCTATCCTTTTCCACTTAATCATCAGACTTTTGTATGTGGTAGGTCAAACTTGTGATGTGCGCCTAACCTACACGTTACATGCTGCACTTACCACTAGACTGAAGTCCTAGGGGCAGTTGATATATACTCTTTAAATTCTTAGAGTAGAATTGTAAGCCCCTTTTATGTTCGCTTCCAACTTAGTGCTAACATATACAACATCATAGACGCCTGTACATTTTGTGAATTGAATGTACAAGGAGATGTCTTATCTAATGCTATTTGTTATTTGATTATATTATTATTTATGTATCACCTAGAAATTCAAGAGGTCTCTCCTTAAACAGCTAATGAACACATTCAGTGTACCGAGCTTATCTATGCACTGTAAGGGGCCTTGTATAACTGATGGCAAATTCTCTATTCAAAGTGTAGGATCAAAAGATTTCAGCTTGTGAGTGCTAAAAATTATGAAGCCGGACAGTCGGAGGATGCTGAGGAGATAGTGCACAAGGCTTCTGATGACTTAACTGGTAGTCTGGAAGATAAAACTGTTCGCACAGGAAGTTCATTTTTGGCAAAACTGGCAATAGCATTAGGTATAGCTGCTACTATTACATTTCTATCCATAGGCCTTAAGCAGCCTAATCAAGGATCAAATTTTGGAATTCAATATCTGGTTGATGGATCATCATCTTCCACAATTTCTACACCTGCTCCTGGTTTTTCTTTCAAAGCTTTTGGCTATAGAGTCATGCTGCCAGAATATGCTCCAGGGTAAGCAACTAATTATCCTTGCGACTTTTCATTCATCAGGGGTTTCACCATGATCTAAGAAGAAACAAGATCAACCTTATGCTTATTATACTTTATTCGACTACTATGATAGATGCTTAATATATAATTGATATCCTGGATCTCTTATCTATTAGCGTACTCGGATGCGATATTAAGCCCTTGTACTTCTCATTCTTCAGATGGATCTACTTTTGGCTTCTGATGGCAGCTGGTTTTGGACTTTTTATCAGTGAGGAGGCTTTGAATATATGGGTCCGTCTCCTTTGCTGGTACTTCTGTTCATGAACTCCCCTGCTAACAGGTCTTCTGATTCATGGCCACGTAGCAGATAGTATAGTTTTCCTGCGATTATTTTTCTTCTTTTGATTTGACATTGCTTTTAAAATTAGTGACTTTAGAGTTGTTCTTTAGTGATGTGAGGAAAAAGTGAGAGGCCATGTGGAGAAAAGAGTTGTGAAGAAGCTTCAAAATTTTATAAAGTTAAAAAGCTAGAACCCTGTCTAAAAAAGTTAAAAGCTAGAACTATGCTGTTATTTAGTGTCTATGAATAGGCACTAAGTTGGCTTGTTATCCTTCTTCATGATGTTCACTATTATAGTCATTTGAATAGGCACTAAGTTGGCTTGTTATCTTATTCATGATGTTCACGGCACTAAAATGGCTTGTTATCCTTCTTCATGATGTTCACTATTATAGTCAAATTCATTGACGAATGGTGTAGGTTGGAATCTCTATAGCACGGATGCTTGTTCTAGATGGGACGTGGCAATCACTAGTGAACTCCTTTTCCAGGAATGCTCCATATATAACATCCACTATTCTTTGGGTGTACTGGTAAGTTGAAACTTTGTCCTCTGAGTAATTTTGATGAATGCACGTGCAGACCAACCTTTCATGATTCTGCAGTACACACAACCTTCTTTTTCTTTTGTTGTATTAAAAGATTTTATGCACCTTCAGTGCCAGTAAAAATTGATTATGTAGAAACAGTGATTTCCACAATGTTAATATTGTTGTGGATCCTGAATATTCAGGGGTGTTTGCATCAGCGATATGATACCTTTTTACCTTGGGAAGCTTTTTAAGCAATCTGGTGCATCCGATGATGTTTGCTCAAAGGTTTGTTTTGGCTACTAGCATATTATTCATGTTAAAAGATTCAGCCTCCTTGCCTTAAAAATATATGAACTTGATTTTGGAAATTCAGAGTCAATTTGGTTGTAGTTAGGGATCGGAAATCAGAAGGCAAGAGATATTACAAACGCTGTACAAAAACATGGGAATCTCATTGGTTTTGGTGAGTTGCAACAAAGATGCTGAATTTAATCCAATGTCTCTTGCATTGTGAAAACTTTTAATCATTGTCAAACCCTTGCTTCCACTGATATGCTCACACTTTTCTTTCTTTTTTATATAACTGTGGTGTTCGAGCTAGCTTTCACGAACCTTGACTAAATTCCATGGGTACCTGCTACCTCTCACCAGCACAAGTACCGGGTAACTCTGTCCACCAAGGCTTGGACAGATGGGAAGCAATCACCTAGTGTTTTTGGCTTCGTTGGGATTTGAACTTGAAACCTCATGGTTCTTAACCCTCTTCATTGGATATGCGCACACTTATTACTATGATCATAATGTAGCATCAGTACTATCACATATCTATGTTGGTACTGGAGGAGTATAATTTAATTATTTGTTAAGATTCTCTATTTGCTGGAAATGTCAGATTGAAATTAGTGATCTACCTCAAAATTTATCCTCTATCGTAAGAGTTTGCATAGTTCTAGTCCATCTTAATCCTTATGTCTATATGCCTAAATCTCTGAACTTTTCTTCACATTCTAAAAAAGCTGATGTTTCTTGTTGTGCTATCATATTTCTGGAAAATACTTGTTCTAACTAATATGATCTTCTTGTTCCTTGACTTCTTTAATTGCTTACTGGTGGATTTTCCTATGCTGATGCAGTGGAACGGTTTTCTCTTGGAGTAAGAAATCCCACTGCTTTCCTTGCAGGGGCTCTGGTGAGTGATTTTTTTTCTGTTTTCCTTCTTAACATGCTGAGGGTTAGATCAGCTTAACCGTCTTCTGCTACTTTCTTGTTCCTTCTTTTGGGTACTACAAGTTTTGAGGCATGATACTGTTACCTACAGAACAAAAGGTGTCAGATATGTTAGGATGGTCAATAACAATGCTTAGAAGTTCTGATAATTTCATTTCATCTTTGAAACGATTGATATATTTAGTGTAGAAGTCCTGCTATAAAACAGAAGATAGACAGACCCCGTTCATCAGTTACAACTTTCCTTTTGCTAATTCTGAGCCTACTCTGACTAGAAATTCAATCACTGAGAATGCAATGCAACCAATTTCCTTATGTCTATATGCATAAATCTTATGATGGTGTTATGTTGTAGCTATAATCCTATATAGAAATTGTTAGCAACTCAATGCATTCTCCCGTGGTAAACAGATATTTATAACTGTTTCAATCATTTCTCTGCTCATAAATATTGCAGGATATATCACCAGAGTGTTTCTTTGCTGGTGTCTGTTGTGGCGGCTTGATAACTCTTCCAATTCAGGTTACTAGTCTTGTGTTTGAAACAGATTTCCAGTTTTAAGTTTACCTGCTTTTCATGCCTTATCTCCTTTTCTTTTACTCCAAAATGCAGTTGACAATTGGATTTTTACTAAGAGAGCGTCCAGTATTTGCCGTTGCAACAGTTGCTACTGTAGTGGTACAGCATAATTCTTTTGCTCTGTCCAATTTTGCATTTATTACCAAAGAATCCAATTCTGGTTCCTATGAAATGTGCAGGGAATCTGGACTATATTCCCCTATGCAGTGGCTGCTTCTACAGCATTATTCCTATATCTACGACGCCAGTTTTCTGGTTAGGCCAACTCATTACTTTTATGATTGGTTCACAAGTCGTAAAGAATGTAGAGGCGAGCACTGATGCAAGCCTGGATGGACATTGTTATAATTTGTTGAAAATCATCCACGACTTCCCCTATCTTCCAAGGGGAAAGGAGACCTTTAAATGTGATATATATCAATAACTTAAAACATTTCCGAGCTCAAATTTTAAAGTTGTCATAAAGTTACAGTAACATTTGATTCAACTAGAGAAACCTTATATTTGCAAATTGTGAGCTGCAGTAGTGAAGGTCTAATTTATCAATTGGCTAGTCCTTCAGATGTTAAATAGGAAAGTTGAATGCTGTATGCATCTTTGAGCTCAGCTAATACTTCTGCAATACTCGGCCTTCGCAATGCATCCCTCTCCACTGACCTTGAGGCGATTAAAGCAGCTTTTCTCATGCTTTCTGTGTCAAATGTTCCTTTTATGCTCTCATCTACTATCTCAAATGCACCAGCCTGCAAGTACGGCTTTGCCTGAAATTTTCACATTTAGTTTACAACATGTGAGTATTATAGGAAGTCAATGAAATGCTTTTGTGTGTAAAACATTATAAGACTTGTTATTACCCATAGAACTAAATTGAAGGAATCTGGAGACCCCGAGTGGCTAAGTGGTTCTCGGCCACAAATAAGTTCAAGAAGAACGACTCCAAAACTGTATATGTCACTCTTTTCTGTGAGCTGTCGAGTGGAATAGTATCTGAGGACAGGTAGTAAGAGAGGTTTAGGAATTAGGATAGGAAGGACCAAATATTAAACTGGATGATAAATGACTTGAAGCTTACTCAGGGTCAAGATAGCCAGCAGTGCCTTTGACAACAGTGCTAACATGAGTTGCATCTGATTGAGTTACTTGCTTAGAAAGGCCAAAATCAGATACCTTAGCATTAATGTCTGCATCCAGAAGTATATTGCTGCTCTTCACATCACGGTGTATGATTCTTGGCTCACTTCCATTGTGCAAGTAATCCAAACCTTTACAAGTTATATAATCAAACATTAAAAACTATATAAAACTTAAGTAATGATAATGCCTCTCTTTACTCATACCTTTTGCAGCATCAACTGCAATTTTCAGTCTGCGCACCCAGCTTAGTGTCAATTTCTTGCTCATTGCTCCTGAGACAGTTATTAAGAGTTAGAAAACGATACGTGACAGAAGAGGATGATGGATTTAAAGTGTGAATATGGGTGAGATCACGCGTGACGTACCATAGAGGTTATCAGCCAGTGATCCTCCAGGTAAATACTCATAAACTAGAATTTGTTGCTTTGACTCATGGCAGAATCCTTCTAACGACACAAGAGTTGGATGACTGATTTGTGATAGAAGGGATACCTACAGATAATAAAGAGAGCTCTTGAATCTCTTTTTTCTTTGTAGACTGGAACTGAACTAGTATGGGTATAGTGACGAACCTCATTGATAAAAGAATCAGCACCCAGTTGGGTTTTATCGAATCGAACTTTAACAGCAACTTGTTTACCATCAGGAAGCTTCCCAAGATAAACAGATCCAAAACTACCACGGCCAATAACCTCTTTAAAGTTGTTTGTAGCAGCTTTGATTTCTTTGTATGAAAATACTTTTGCAGCATTCCAGTTTTTCATTTCTGCTGCAGTTCCTATAATTAGAAAAAAGTGCATGTTTAGAAGTAGATTGATCAATATTTTGAAATGTTAAAGAAAAGTTTTGACTTTTAATATACTTGATGCATATGTATCTCCACTTTTGCTTCGCCTCATGTACAATAATACTGATATAAAGACAACGAATAGAACAAACACAGCTCCTCCAACTGCACCAAGTATAACTATGAAACGATTATGGCGCTTGTGTTTTGTGGGTGCAAATACAGTGACTTGTGGTGTCTCAATCGTAGGATTTCTTGAGAATTCATTGCATAAAGACATAGTGAAGGAAAGACACAGATTTCCTGATGATCTGCAAAATAGGGAAAGACGATGAGCCGAGAAACTGACATGAGAAGCAAAAAACAAAAAGACTTTCTGATTTCATACAGGACTTGTAAGCTCTCTCTGTTCAAAGATTGTGGCAGGGGGCCTTGCAGCTTATTGTTTTCTAGGTTCCTGAATGTTACAGCGAGGTAAATTAGAACAATTCATCAGGTGAAGTACTTTAAGAAGTTCAAAATGTCAGTATATATTTTCCCCACTCACAGTAAGTGGAGGTCCTTCAGTTCTCCAACGCTATCTGGTACTGTTCCTTGAAAACTATTGTTATGCAAGTCCCTTCAACAGAAAACACATTAATTTTAAAGACTGTTGAACAGGGCTAGCTAGGAAGAATGAAGGAAGTCACTATCTGAATGCAAGCAGTGAGACTTACAAAATTTGAAGGTTTATCAAGTCTTCTAACTCTGAACCAAAAGCTGTAAGTTGATTAAAGCTCAAGTTCCTGAAAAAGTTCAGAGCACGCAACTTATTTTAGACAATGCTCTCTCAAGTACATTAACTTAACATGGTAATTCCTAGAGATCAAGTATTACAGCTTCTTAAGATGTTGCAGGCTGCCGATGTTTTGTATCTCTCCAGCAAGTGAAGTATTATGCAAATCCCTGCAACAAGTAGAACCTCAAATAAGTAAGTCAAGATAGCCAAACAGTGGCTATTAAGTAATAAGTTTAGATTAATGACTCTTACAGTGATTTGAGATCCAGTAGGTCACCAAATGTTGGGCTGATTGACCTCAAGTTTACATCAAAAAGCTCCCTATATAAAGTCTTAACTTTATTATGTTCTGCTGTTAACAAAAATAAGACCAAGAGAAAGTAAAAGAAAGGAAAATGTAGTTCTAGGGTAAGCTTTAACATACAATGAAGTTACGAGATTTGCTTCACATTCTATGTGTTCCCATGATTTAGGAGAGCATGGATCATCTTCCCAATCAAGATCTAGACCAGTTGACTGCTGAATAACCTGTAGGGCTGAAACTGCAAGCATAAAAAATGTCAAAAGTTGGTGTGATTGGTTCTAACAGACTCCTTCAAAGGTCGAAAAAACAATAAAACTGTATTAGAACCTGTTGTTGAAGAAGTTTCTAAGGGAATGTCTAGGATCTCATAAACCTCAAGAGCATTGATATATGGATAGTAGTGAACAGTCTTCAATGTGATGTTCAAGCTCTCGATTCCTTTCATTGTAAAGAAGAGACTACTGACTTCCCATCGATTAACTGTGTAGTTTGATCGAACAATATCCCCATTTATCAACACATCGAATGAAGGGGAGACGGGCAGAATCCCAGCAAAGTAGAGAACAATGTGGTAATCTCCTTGGTGATCAATAGGAAATTTATATGTCATATCATTCCACCGTGCTAAAACTCTTCCGGTTTGAAGAACAGCTACAGGAGGGCTCTCTTTCAGAATTGACATATTGAAATTGGCTTGAATATCAAAACCAGATGACACATGAAATGGGCTGAAATCCTCATCAGCATCCCAAATTCTATCATACTGATCAATCGGGTACCTTTTACATCGCACGAAAAACATCAAATCTAAACAGAAACTAAGGACTAAACAATCGATAAAGTCATACATAACATAATCGACAAGTGAGTGTTTGTTCTGACCTCAGGGACCAATTATAACCACAGTTGATACGATAACATTTCCTCAGCAACTTATTGGGAAAATCTCCCAAGGCATTGCTGTAAGCTTCTTGAGGAAGTGGCCTAAGTTCAAGGGATGAAATGACTGGAAATCCACCATCTTGAAGAGAGTGAAAACATAAAGACAGAATGTCTTTATCAACTGGCCATATGAACTCTTCGATCCACGGATCAATATGAGTAAGATTGACATTTGTTGTAATAGCCCTCCCAAGAGAAACAGAGAATGCAGGTGGCTTATTATGTCTATCATAATTCTTATACACAAACTGTGTCCTGACAAGGACCAGGGATGACACATTCTTCACTGGAATCTTGTAACATTTTCTACGTGGCGAATCAGGAAAGAACCTAACTGGGAGAGTAGATGAAGAGGAACCCTCTAGAAAATCAACAGTGGTCATGTTACCAGCTGAGATATAGGCACCATCTGGTGTCCATGTAATGTTGGAGGAATCAACATAGGTAGTATTTCCACCACAAGACAAGCTCAAGAATCCTGCACATTTCACAACATAAGCAACATTTCATCTTAAAACCTTCCATTTTCTTCAATGTAATGCATACTGATAGAGGTAGATCCAGGATTTAAAGTTTATGAGTTCACACGTGCTGAACACACACATACATGCAAATATAACTTCAACTTTATACAAGGGAGGAAAGAAGAGATTGAAGAAGTAAAATCAAGAGACCACTAGGATTTTAACAAATATAGTACATTTTGTAGTCATAATTTTAGAAGTACAATATAAGAGTGTTTAAAAGGTTGAACTCGTAAGTTTAAATCTTGTATCTGCCTCTTAAGCGTACCTTCAGGATCGCAAAAAGCAACTTTGATGAAGATAGAAGATAGAAGGAACCAAGAATAGTAACGCCAATGCAGCTCCATTGAAGCAGAGGAAGAATTTGCAGGGGAGGAAAAAAAGAGAGGAAGTGAGTAGTAAAAAAGAGAAGAGACAACAAGTCCTTTTCTACTTTCCTTTTCTGTTGCTTTGTTGACAGAGTTGAGTAAAGGGGAAGATGTGATTTTGATAGTCTTTGAAAATGTGTTAACGGCCAAATGATCATAGGGACAGTTAGAGTCTCATATTGACTGAGGAAAGATGGAATGAATTTCGGCAATCCTTTCTTCGAGAGCTAACTTGGGTCGTTTGGTGTGAGGGATAAGAATAAATAGTCGTGGGATTAAATTTTGATGTATGTCATGTTTGGGATAACTTATCCCACCATTTATACCATAGTGATGAGATAAGTTATCCCATATACATGGTAGAATAAGTTATCCCAGGATAACTAATCCTAGGATAATAAATCCTGAGATAACTTGTTCCCAACCAAACGACCCATACCACAGTTGAACTCAATTATTAAAGAATGACATAGATCAATCTTTCTTAAAGTTTGATTGCATATTTTTTTAAAAATTATCAGTTTAATTTTGGTGGTGTGGACCTCTAGTAAGGGACCACGTAGAAAAATAATTTCACAAAATCACAAAATCTGACCGTTAAAAATAATGGTACCCAACTACTAATGAATAACATAAATCATCTTTTTCTCAAAGTTTAATAACATATTTGAACCTTTTCCCTATATTATATCTGTATATGGTATCAAAATCAAATTTGTCCTTATTTGGATACCACGTTATATATCCATACTTAAGTTATTGTCCATGCTCCGGTTGGTGGTGTGACTCTACAAGGATCAACTATTAGAGTGGTCAGAATTGTTGAGAATATAATTACATAATAAAAAAAATGTGTATTTTTTCTAATAGTTTAAATTTTTAAATAAAATAATCACATGCTTTAATATAATATCAAAACAGATAGAATTGATGTCACATGAAAATGTGTTACTAGTAAAGAGCAATGATTAATGATGATGACTATTGTCTCCATTGATAAGCACGTCTTTTTATACAAAGAAAAATGAGAGACAATACGTGAAATAGTGTCTAATTTCATGCACTCCACACATGATAGTTGTTGCTTCTTAGTATATACTCAATCATAAGCGTTGCCCCAAAGAGAACAAATTGTCATGGGTCAAAAATATTTTTAACGTATCAGAAAGATTTAAATTCATATTTAATCTGTTAAATAGATATTTACACCAAATAAATAAATGTCAAATACATGTTTTTTTTATATACATTTTTTAACACTTATGGACAAGTAATGTATATTTTCATTTTGCTTTATTGATTCTAAAAGTTAATTATTTTAATTATATTCGACACGGATAATTAAGTAGTATATATAGTATATTACCTTTTAACTCTTTGAAAAATATCATAACATCATTTTCCAACCAGTACTCCAAGTATAGTTTTTTTCTATGTTGATTTGAAATTTCAAAACTATCAGTGGATGCGTGTCAGATTTTTCAAAAATAATGTATTTTTGGAGAATTCAATACGAATGCGACATCAAAAGTGAAGAATCGCGCGGGTAGCTTTTGTTTCAACATTCCTGGCTGAAATTTAGGGAATTAATGAACTGTTGCTCAATCATTTTTCTTCCAACTTTATTTCAACTTTTTTCCTATTTATGACCATAATAATGCATAGGATGCTTCATGCTTAGAATTCCAGCATTCTCTTATATGATTGTTTTTAGGCTTTTCGCTTTATCTATATTTATATATATATATATATATATTCAATAGCTTAGCTTTCAAATCAATCTCCATTTTGTTGTCTTCCTCATCAAGGAAAATCAAAATCTCATGGACTAATAAGCATATATTTCAATGAACTTAAAAACACAAAGGTAATATAAAGCTAATCATAGATTATCCATCGACCATGAATATTTTAACGACTAATTTAATTTACAGCACAATCAGCGGGAAATTAAAAAGCACAATAAAGTTGTTTCTCCTCACCACTAAAGCTTGAGACTTTTTGTTGAAGCTTTTACGCAGGTGTTTGGACATGTGATTTTATCTCGTGATTGAAAATCATGAGATGAAATCAGAGCGCTTGAATATGCAAGTTCATCTCTCAAATTCTCCAAAAAAAAAAAACTTCATTTGGAAATAGATTTCACATTTTTTAAAGGGGTAAGGCACATGTACCCCTAGATTATGACTGAAATCCCAAAGACACACTTAAACTTAACTAGAGTCATATTATCCCCTGAACTCATTACACCTTTTGTGTTGATGTGACACCTTTAACCACCCAAGTTAGTTGTGTCTGTACACATGTCTGTCACGTGTGTATATATTATTTATTTAGTTTTGTTTTTAAAAAAAAAATCTTATTTTCTTTAAAATTTCTTTTTTTTTAAAAAAAAATCTCATTTTCTTTAAAATTTCTTTTTTTAAAAAATCTTATTTTCGTTATCTTGTATTTAAATTAAGTTAATACACATTTTTTAGGACAAACTACATAAATCTCACTAGTTTAGATCCTAATTATTAAGATTCCCGATAGTTTCAAATATTGCTTCCTCTACCATATTTCGTACTTTGGATACATGAAACTGAATCCGTGAGATGCATGTATCTTGCTGAATTTTAAAATAGATGTACATATTTTATTTATTTAAATTAATTGGTTGTAACAGATCTCCTTAATTAGAGGAGTTATTGAGAATTTTCAAAATACATGTACAACTATTTCTGAAAATTTAAATAAATTAAATCCCTTAATATAAGGCGAAAATCAAGGATTATATCTATGTTTAATTAATTTTATTTTATTATATTATTAATACAAGACAAAAACATGTATATTTTGATCATATAATTTGATTAGTTTCATTTTATTACTCTTAAAATAATAAATTTATTAATTTGATGTATCTATTATCAATATATAATGTATCCAACCAACTAAACAATTAGATACGTGAATGTCATACAAGTACATTCATATGTATCATATAAGTTATCCAGTATTAATTTCATGTATCTATTTATATGATTTAATATTAATTTCATGTATCTATTTATATGATCTAATATTAATATCATGTATCTATTTATATGATAAAACATTATTTCATGTATCTTTTATATGTATAATTTGATGTATCAAGTATCAATTTCATATATTATATCCAAAAATATGTATCTCGGATAAATATGAAAATAATTAGATACATTGTAATAACACAACAAGATATATGATAATATTAAGATACATGATAGAAGATCATATCCTATGACAAGACTCATACACATGATAGAATAAATTGTGTCAAATACATGCGTAAATCTCCAATTTATTCATTAGATACATACACACTCAATAAGATACATTGATAAAAATTAGATACGTATAATTGTATCTCAATAATGTATCAGATACATCAATAATGTGTCAAATACATGCGTAAATCTCCACTTATTGAAACTTTTTGATTATGTTCGTGGCTGATTAGGGCATCTTACCGTGGCGGTGTTTGCTTCACCTTTTGATTCATCAGTGTTGCTCATTGTGCCTAGATCCGACGGGAGAAGTGACTCGAAGTTTTTTGGTTGATCTATAGTGTACAAGGTATGCAACTGATACTATCGTCAATGTCGAATTTGATTAATCTATTGGGCTTGAAATCTCTGCTTACAACGATACCCATTGTCTCTGGGCTCGAGAGGTGTCTCCCCTTGCGAGAAAAAATGGTGGTTTCATGGGGAATTGATTTGAGAGTGAGAAAATCAATGGCTAAGAATTTGATGTGTGTGTATTGACAAGTTGTAGATTATTCATTTTAATTGAGTGTTTCTTCTCAATAATTTTGACTCTTCAAGGGAAGAGGAAGAGGAAAAGTTTGAGTTTTACCCTAACTAATATTATCTGAGAGAAAGATATTTATTTCTAATTAAAACACTAATTTTGGAGTTTAAATATAAAGATAATTAATCAATCCTAGTTTTAAGGGATATGAGTACTGATTGTATCTTCAATAATATATGGTATAAGCTATTAAAAAAGGTAACATATGTAATTGTATAAAGATAGAGGTAACTTTAGCATATATGGTAGTGATGTATATCTAATAAAGTAGTTTATCCTTTTTTTTAACCTTGTGTCAATTTTTTTTAAAATATTCTTATTTTTTTTATCTTGTATTTAAATTAAGTTAATACACATTTTTTTACTTTGTATCTCTCTCACTCTTTTACCTTCATTCATTGTTTTTTCTCTTTTATTTTTCTAATGATTTTATTTACTCTTTTTTGTGTTTTTTGTCTTTTGTTTTGATTTGATTTCAAAATTAATTCCAAATATCTTGTATTTAAGATAATTTAATTTCGAACTTATATCAAAATAAGTAAAGATAATCCAACAAAAAACATAAAAAAAAATTAAAACGTTAAAATTAAAGGATGCTTTTTAAAAAAAATATACATAATTTTTTTTTAAAAATAACTCAAAGTGAAAAAATGATAAATTAATTAAAAATGGTTTAAAGTGAGAAAGATTTTAAAATAAATATCATACAAAGAAAGAAATAAAAATAATTATATATATTTAAATTTTCACATCAATAAATATGTATATTAACTAATTATAAAGTGACCAATTAAAAAGGGACATGTGTCCAATTTGTGCACTTATCACTTGTCTTCAAAAGAGTGTGCACATTTTATTCCATTTTAAATTAGTATAGGGGGATATAGGACTTTGGTTAGGTTTATGTGTGTCTCTGAAATTTCGATCATAGTCTAGAGGGTACTTGTGTTTTATCCTTTTTTTTAAATACAAAAATTGATCTACAAGTTTATATTTATTTATTTCATATGTAAACAAAATTTACCGTTGATATTGTTACTATTACCAACCTTTGAACTATTTATATTTATATTAGATATACTTATTACTCTCACCAATCAATTTTATAGTTGATATTATTACTCTTAGTCTCTTACCAACCTTTAAATCATTTATATCGAGAAATGCACGCTCAAATATGGAGATTGTTCGTACTATGTGTGTGTTGGGGGGAGGGGGGATATTAAAGAGTAGTACACTACAACTCATGTTTAGTTTTACTTTTTTATTGAACGAAAGTTCGATCAGTAAATGTTGTATATATTTT